AGAGAGAGAGAGAGAGAGAGAGAGAGGGAGAGAGAGAGTCTATGGTATGAGTATGTGTGTGTGAGTGTGAATGTGAATGTGTGTGTGTGTTTGTAAGTATAATGATATGTTATTTTATGATTGTATGAACATGGACGAAGTGTGGAAGAAGGCATTTGTTTATGAGAAGAAGAGAATCGGTACAAGTTCTCAATATTTATCGTCCGTAAGTTGAAGTAACAAATCATAAATCGTTGGCAAGCTTTTAAAGTGTTTTGAGCCAAAAAAAACCCACTTAATCTGGAGCGAAAGACAAAATACTGTTCATTATCTTGAAAGAAATGTACTTAAATAATGCTTCTTTTTTTGCTTTTTAAAAATTAACATTTATTGAAAATTGAAATTTTACAAAACAGATTGCCTGGGATTGAGTATTAATTAAGAGATTCTAGAAAAAGAAATCACTATTTTGGGCTCAGTAGATCATTCTGAACAGCTGGTGGCCGAAAAGCTTCACATTTTATACACTTATGTACTCAACAAACCTTCAAAAATACGGCGGATCAATATAATTCTTAAAGGCCCTTTTAAACCCATTTAATATCTCCATAAACATAAACCAAGTGGAACGACAAGAAAAAAAGACACGGCATGAAAAATAACACCCCACCCCCTCTCCCTCAAAAAATTTATTTTTTAAAAAATCATTACATTTGTTAATGCGTCTGTAGACGATTCACTTCTGCTGACGTCCAAGGTCAGGCATGACTGGTTCGACATGACGTCTTTCCATGTGAATTACTTGTGTGGCATCGTGGGGAAATCAGATGCTCGTCAAATTTATGAAATTTAACAAATCGAAAAGTTTCTGACCATTGTGCAATTTTTATCGATAAAAGAAAAACAAGAAACACATTTATATCTTTTAGAAAATGCTTTAAAGGCTTCATTTTTCTTTCTTTCTTTCTTTCGTTCTTTCTTTAAATTGCCTTTGGGTTGAGGTAGTTATGTTGTTTGTTTTTTTGTTGTTGTTTTGTTTTTGTTTTTGTTTTTGTTTTGTTTTTTTGTTGGGGGGGTTTTTGGTTGTTTTTTTTTTTGGGGGGGGGGCTGTCAACATCCTCTTAACCATTCAAAAACCTTAAAAGGCGCATAAATTGTAAATTCGCAGTTTCGAAGGACATTCAAGCTAAGTAAGTCAATACAGTTTGGCCGTTATTTTCTCGCTAATTTTACCTCTGATACCAGGTGATTCCAACCTCTCGACTTCTATTCTAGATACATAGGTACTTTTGTACTTTAAAAAATGGGTGGTTTGCAGGTTCTCTGGTATTGTGTGCTCCTTTCTCCCTGTCAAACTTCTGTTGTCTTTATCTCCCTTCCTTCTGTTTGGTGTATGTTACTCTCTGGTGACAGCTTTTATTTTCAAAACTTATTATTATGACCTCATTGTCTTGCAAGTGCTGTAAAAGTCTTACTAAAACATACCAGTACATCAAAATCAATCAAATGAACAGGTATTAAGCGTATACCAATAACGTCTTATGCTAAAAAAATTACCCAGAGCCTGATCCCACTGCATCGTGACATATCTCATTGAAGCCTTATGAAGGTTGGGTAAACGTGCAACTTAACTTAATATACTGTCTTTTTGACACTATCAACTTTCAAAATTGCTGTACAATTTTAGAGGGTTTGAAATTGCACAGTCAGGCTGCTGGTTGTCCAAATTCCTTATATATAATGTCCAAATTTACAGGGATTTGAACTGCATAGCCATGTTGCTGGCGGTCTTTCTTACGACATCATCCTCGGCTAATTCCTTTTTAAAACGTAATTTATAGCCCTTTATACGAAATACTTAACGTACGAAATACTTAAAAAGCGCATTTGGCGTCTCCATAACCTATGCTGCCACATTTAGGTCTCCGTGATGCCTGCATTGAAAACATTTTTAACATATTATTATTTTTAAAATTGGCCATTAAAATTTTAGTTTATCCATCAACCTATTTGACTGCCTTATGATGATATTGTTCTCACGTGCCTAAACGACCTACGAGTAGATTAGAGGGGTATGACAGATTTATGTACACCTTTGCAGGTTAAAAGTAGGATCAATGAACCAAACCCCTTCCCATGACCCCCCCCCCCTAACTTTTTTCCCATTCTTTCCCATCTTTTCCTTTCATTTGAGTGACCGTGGAACATGTAAACTAAATCTCTCTACTCAAAATTGTATGACTAGATTCCGGAAGGTTCGTGAAAGGTTACAAGCTCAGATTATGATGCCCGCATCAAAATCAGTAAATTTTGATTATTATTATTATTATAAAGTTGATCAATGTATGATTCTGAGGCCAATTTTCTGCTTGGTACAAGTTTGGGCGAGCGTTGGAAACAGTATTTTATTTGAAGTACACAAGCTGTTTGTAACCTTTAAAATAACTCTACAGAATGACGTCAGACCGCACCCTTTGACTGAGTCCGAAAGTTTGTTATATCATGTAGTGCCATAGACATTGATAGTCATCATTTCCTAGACCATGCACTCTGGCGTTTTTTCGGTTCATCCCGGGCGCACCGTTTTACTCAATTCATCATCATATGAAGGGCAAGCTGAAATGTGCGGTGTACACTAGACTGTAGTGAGTTTTGCCCTTCATTTGCACGTCCATGGTGCGCACCAGCGCAGGAAGGGGAGTTTTTGTAGAGCTCATGGTGCGGCGGCCATGACAGTGCGCACTCTAGGATAGGATTCTAGTCTATGCCAATGTGCAGTATGTATTCAAAGCGGTTTTTTTAATCCTGGGCACCTTTCAGTATTGAGCTTGATCAAGGCCTAACTTTTAAGATCTTGTGTATAGTGCTCTGATAGGGATAGACAGAAAGAAAGAGAGAGAGAGAGAGAGAGAGAGAGAGAGAGAGAAAGAGAGAAAGAGAGTGAGAGAGAGA